ATGAGCTTCCCTTGGAAATCGCCGGAAGTCGAGGAAAGCTTGTTCGGAGAGGGTGAAATGGAAGGCTGTTTCTTGGAAGAGAAAATCATGGGGATATCCGGGAAGGAGAAGGCGGAAGAGAGTGGGCCAGGTTCCATATTATCAGTCAGCTAGCCGCTGGCGGCGACGGCCGCCGGCGAAGGGATATGGGTTAGTGATGATCGGAAAAGGAAAGATGGATTGGAAGGGAAAGTAGGGTTTGTAGAGAGAGAAAGTAAGAGAGATGAGGGAGCATTTTCCTTCTTTTTTTTTTTAATAACCTCTGCTTTGAGTATATTTATGTATTTGTTCTTATTAGGTCCATCACAACATATTATGATGTGTTTACCATTCACATGTCAAAATTTTTGTGATATTTGAATATCATAGGCTTTGTTTGGGAGCACTTGTTCTACAAAAGTCCATCTTAAAAATGGATTTTTCATTAAGTGCATTTACAAAAGTCCTTACACAACTTTCACTTATGTTTGGTGAATCTCATTTTAAATAAGTGTTTTAGTTACTTAAATAATAATATTTTTTACACGTAAAAAATTCCTACCTACTATATATGACTCAATATTATATTATGGTGATCTTAGACATATATATTATCTATGAACCATTTAAATATATTGATAATTAAAGTTTTTCATCTTTTTTATCTTTATCAAAATGATATTCAATATTTTTTTTTGTCATTATTTAATCATATAATGTTATATGATTAATGATTTAAAATAAAATAAAATTATGCAAAATATATTAGACCAATTTTCCCCGTGTAAGGTCATATATTACGAACATGCTTTAAAATGACACTAAAATAAAACACCAAATAAAAATTCATTATGTAACAAATATTGGAAGAATTATAATTAATGTCTTAAAGTTCGTCATCAAACCAATAATGTATTCAAAATAAATCGAAAAGTCAAAATTATAGACATAAAAGATAGTTAACATCACGTAGCACGGTACACAGAATCGGCTATAGCATCACATAGAATGCTCATTTCCTGATTCAGTTGATTATTCACCAGTCCATTAATTTCACCATAATGATCCTCCGAGTCTATGTCTAATTCTTCATCATCGCTGAGATAATCTTCATCTTCACCATAACGTTTAAATTCTTCATCCGCTATCGCCTCTAGCCTTATATAATTATGCAATGCCGTCGAAGCAACGGCAATTAGTCTTTGAGTTTCGAAAGGAAACTTAGCCATTTTTTTTAAGAATTGGCCATCGAGACTTCCATACTCCAAAGCAACGTTCAATTACATTTCTTAGTAATAAATGAGAGTAATTAAACAATTCTTTTGGTCCACTTGCACATTGCCCTCTTCGAAATTGACTTGAATGATACCGTGCCTTTGTAAGGAGCCAAAAACCCAAGCATATTGGGATATCCAACATCGACAACATAGTATTTGCCTATTAATGGATTTTTGTCATATAAGGAGGGATAAGTAGAAAGATAAAGGAGAAGAGAGAGTGTACTAACCACTGGGAGGCATTGGAAACTTCAAATTTGGCTTATGGATAGCTTCACTGAATATACGAGAATCATGAGCAGATTCTTCCCATGCTGCCCAAACAAAAGCGAATCTCATGTCAAACGAGCATGCTGCCATTACATTTTGGGTGAATTCACCCTTTTCCCACGATAAGCAAGTTGTTCATCAGTTGGTATGACTGCATCCACATGTGTTCCATCAATTGCACCGATACACCCCTATTTAATAATCAAAAAGTTAGAGAACTAACCAAGTAAGAATCAATAACTTATTTAACAGTAAAATAATTTATTATACATACATGAG